GTGTGTGTGTGTGTGTGTGTGTGTGTGTGTGTGTGTGTGTGTGTGTGTGTGTTCCTCTTTCGCCTCTTTTCCCTCCCCTCATTGCATTCATAAATGGTCACGGCAGACGGCTGCCCCTCCACGATTCTGGCGCTACTGGAGATTACTTCCTGTTGAAAAGAGGAGGTTATTTTTCCTTTCCACTGTTGCAAAGTCTTTATTCATAAGGGGTCCTCTGATTGTTGGAGTGTTCTCCCTATTATTGTAGGGTCTTTAATCTAAACTATAAAGGACATTGAGGCAACTGTTGTTGGGATCTGCCCCTACAAAGGGTTAAAGATTGTTTGACCTCTACCTGTCAAATCAGACTGCTATAGTGCAATGTGGGGAGCAGAATTACTTAATAAGTGACATAATAGCTTATTTGGAGTGCCAGTAGATCTTTCTCTGAGTAGACTGATCAGTCACCTATAAAAGCAGCAGCTGACCTGTGCTGCTGCTTTCTGTGGATTAAGTCAGTCGAATTAAAGGTTGCAAGATGTTTTTGCAAAACATCTTGCAACAACATCTGTTGTGCCCACTAAGGTCTCTCTCTCTGAGAAATACAGCAACTGGACATTAGCTAGCAGAGAACTTTTTTGCGACAAACTGTGCAGAAACTATGTTTGCTGTTATTTAGTAAGCAACTTTGAAAAGTTGCATTTCAAATTTCCTGCCACTTGAAAAAAAAGACTACTCTGTTTAAGTTGTCTCCTCTCTTCTTCCGTACAGCGACTGCACCTTTTATTTACATCTGCACCATGAACACATCACAAATATATATTTGAAAAAAAAAAAAAGCATCCCAAATGCAGCTATGGTTTAAATTTGGAAATCATTGGTAATTTTCAGAAATTATCTAAGAAACCTCTGACTTTTAGGTTAAGGTCACTGGGACTTTTAACGGATGGACCCAAGATATCAATTGGAAAATGCTACGTCACATTGTCCAATTTTCACCTTCACAAACTTCAGCCACAGGAACTCATTCAATACTATTATACATAAACCTATCAGATTTAAGTGCTCATTAATTGCACCTGGGACTCATCAGTTTTAGTACTGAAGAAGCTTCTTGGATGAGAGGTAAAAGGTCTTCATGAACCTAAAAAGATGTGGAGGTAACTTCAAGTCAAGCACTTAAGACAAAACTGGCAGATATCTTTTATAAACGACATGCAGCTATTTTAACACGTATAAATATTTGATGGTAAAGTAGTACACTGTGCTGATTATCTGCAAAGAATCAATAGTCAGCATAGATATAGCAGTGAGTGTTATCCAGAGCAGAGAAATTAAACAGTGTGTGTGCAGTAAAGCTTATATGTGCAGAGTGTCACAGACCGTCTGACCAGACAGCCTATTGGATTTACAGATTATCCCATTAGACTGGACGATGGTGGCCCTTCAGTACAAACACTATGCTAATCAATCATGGCCCCGAGCAGCACAAATCAAAGCCAAATGCTTTCTGCATCAAAAGTTGAACCCACAATGATACACATAAAGGACTGTTTATTTCATCAGATTAATTTCTGAAATGGAAGAAACATTAATTTTAAATCACGTGGATTACAAGTGCACCTGTTCATAAGCCACACTTTCCCCCTCTTTCTTTTCCTAAAATAGTTTAACAATGGAGAGAGAGAAAAAAAGTTACCTGCAAAACAAAAATAAGATGTGAAAACTGGTTTTAAATACTGCAGGTGGCACAGAGGTGTCTTCAGTTATCAGATCATTCAAATGTCACACACACACGCACACACACACACACACACACACACTAAACATTAGCAAGTATGACATACTGTTTAATTGGGTTATAATGAGAGTCAATTTGCACAGTCAACCCATGAAGAGTATCTCATCTTACACTGCCATTGTTAAAAACACAAACAGCAGGAAAACACTTCACAACAGAATATAATTACACACACTTTTGATACACTGGGAGCATACGCGTATCCACACACAGGACCTCCCTCACACAAGTGGAAACCACCATATAGAATTAGCCAATTCACTCAAATGTACCATTTGAGTGAATCACATCTCGCAGCACAAGCTTGGGCTACAAGGGTTTTTTTACAACATTATTTCACGATTCTTGTGCCAGTCTGTAAACAGTGTACTTTGTTAGGCGATGTTATATATTCTGTGGCATGAGCTGCTATTTGTACATTCATAGCACCCCCTGCATGCAAGGGTGACATGGAAAGATGAATTCAAAGGAGTTTCAGTAGGACACACGAGAACAAAACGGTAGCATCAAAATTTAGGAGAAAGACGTGAATCTCATTGCACCCATTGACAAAAAAAACAAAATAAAAATCCAGTCCTCCAGATGTGACTTTTTGAGTATACAAGATCTACAGCAACACAGAAATATCCAGACCTCCAGGAGTGCAAACTGTGTTGATGAACCCAACAGTAACAAAATAAATTCTGAACTGAAATTGGACCACCTCTTAAAAACACACACAAAAAAAACCAAAAAAAACGATCACATTAAATGCAAATGGCTTGGGATGTGGCACAAATACCTAAAACTTTACACCACTGTATCTGAGGATTTATATGGTTGTTATAAGACACTATGCCCCTAATGCTGAAGGACTGGTTCATCTTCAGAAGGCTGGATGCTTTAAACACTCGCAGGAACACAGTGAGACGGACCGTCTGATACCTCAACAGGGTGGATAGTAAACTAATGTCGATAGCAAACAAAAAGCTTTATTTTTAAATTCAGTAATTGTATCATTTTTTGGCCAAACTCATAATTTAACTTGTCATCTGTCATGCTTCAAACAAATCAAAATCACTTGCTTTAAATTCCCAGCAGGGGGCCTCAGTTCTTCTCTTAATCCATAATTTGACCAAGCGTTAACTTCTTAGTAAAAACAAGGCGGGTGTAGTTGCAGTTCTATGTCATACTCATTTCCGCCACAACTTGTTGAAATCACACTAAAGACGCTAATACAGTAGTGAGCAAGCTGGCGGTCTGAATAGAGTTTAAAGTCAAGCTTTGTCTAAAAACATAAGACAAGCCATTAAATACTAAAATGAGTAAAACTGTGTGTTTGGCAAAAACATGTCTATGGTTAGGAAATTTGGCTCAATTGTACAATTGCAGGAAAACATCAGGTGGCATTGACTGGCTGAAGATGAAAAATGCCAAAACCAGCAGTCTGAACGGCAACTTGCATTGCAACACTTTCTCCAGTGACAACAATGCCGTCACTAATGTAGTCCATCGTTCTTGTGACATCTCCTCTATAAACAGCATAAACATGTCTATGGATGGACACGTGCCGCTAACGTAGATCGCACCTTTCATTTTCAGTTCTTCTAATCTACCCCTAAGTTTGGGGTTGGAGGGTTATTGTTCCTGACTTGAGTGCAAGTGAAAACACACCAAGAAAACCTCTGCTCTCTATGAAATCTCCATCTCAAGCGTAGATCTGTCCAGAACCACCTGTATGGGCATTTTCTCCAGTGAGGCGCTCCTGGCTTGACGGCCTGTTTGTGTCACTGGATTTAATGACACTCGTGTAGTCTTGAATTCCCACTTCTAAGTTTTTGGCCCGCAGGGCAGCAGTGTGCAGTTTATCCAGAAATGCGGGCATACCTAGACAGGTTTTAAGAGGGAGAACATTCTCAAAATCATGCTGGAAAAGGCATAACATGATGGAACACTCTCTCTGAAAACTAAATTTTACATTTTAGATTGCTACATTTCTGTCCAGACTTCTACAAAATGTAGTATTATTCATATATATATTATTCAATTAAATATGAATACATGCGGTTAAATATGATGTAAAATATGGTCAAAATCTTGCCTTATGTCCGTTAGTTATGGTGTTGATTAACAACATCATGACAAATTGCACTGCCACAGTGTAGTCAACTTTTTTAATATTGTTTTAAACCGTGTTTGCCTCCAAACTTGTTAGAGCATCCCCCACCCCGTCTGCTCCTTCCACTGAGACTTTTAAAACTAGACTGAAAACTTATATTTATTCACTGGAATTTGAGTCAGTTTCCTTTATTCCATTCCTTTATCCTCTTTCTGTTTTGTGCTTTGTACAGCTCTTTGATCAACATTAGTTATTTTGAAATATTCTTTTTTGAATAAATTCCAGTTAATCCTTACGTGATTAGTGTATGACTTTTTCAGTACTCACCGCTCGACACCATCCAGCTCACACAATAGCGGGGGAAGACGGTCTGAGGGTCATCACTGTAGGTCAGCAGATAATCAAATCCATTCTGTGAGGAGATAAGCAAAACTATGCTGAGCAACTTCAAACAAAGGACACAGTTGTTTAAAATTAAATAATCTGTGCAGCATGACATTCATCACTAACCTCATCAAAGGACTTGTGTGGGCGAATGACCATCTTTGACTGGTATGAATGAACTCTCACATATTCCTGTGTCTCTGGTACTCTGGGATGCTGTATGGCTCTGCACGGCCAGATTATCAATGCACAAGATAAGATACAGCATTTAGTCTGATTATATAAATACACCCCAAAATAAACAAATTAACAAACATCTCTTTAAGTCTGACCTGGAGACCAAGATCATCAGGTTGTTGTTGAAATCAACATCATAACGGCGCACATATACATAGTCCCTCGAATACATGGGATACTGTGAAGGACATCAAACAAGATCAAATAACAACTGAGTGTGCGAAATGCAACCTAACCTTACTTGGTTGGCAGTTGCTCTTGATCAAAAGGTAAATGAAGGTTATTCATACTTTGACTGATAACAAAAAAAAAGTGTCACGGGTGAATGCAGGGTAGGCTGAACAAATAGCAATCTACAAACTCACAGGAAAGTGTGTAGCCCAATGCACAACTTCAGAGCCAGTATTGGCATGTCGGTCCACCACTTCAAGCTTGATAACGAGAGAATCCCACTTCTTCCTGTACTCTATGTCCAACTGGGGGGAAGGGAAAGGCAGAGTGTTATTGCTGTTAAAGCATTCCTGTGATATGTAATGCGATTCCAAAAACATAAATCCCATAACCCCGAAAAACCCACTCCAATTAATATTAATCTATAACCCAACTTGATGTGTCGATTTTAAAAGGTTGTCTCAGTAAACAGTGGTTCAGAAGGTCAGACTTCAAGAGTAAAGAGATTGCTGCACACCTAAATCCCCAATAATGGATTAGGAGTGTAGCCTAATCGTACGTCCTAATCATTTCCTCATGTATGTCAGCACTGAAATAGAATAGGTGATCAGCTTCACGCAGTTTCCTCAACGACTTAAACTTTTGAGGTAGTCAAAATTGCACATAATTAGACTGAACTTAAATATACCTGTACATTGAAGAATTGTCTTGGTGTGACATCATCATAAGAGCCCAATACTGCAAATAAAAGATAACAAATCAGACCAGCTCAAAGTATTGCTTAAAATGCAAGAAAAATCTGCAGAATCCTTTAGAGCTACAAATATTTCTCCCTCTATGACAAAACTGGACAAATATGTGAGACCCTGTTAAACATGTGTGTGACTAGCTGACCTCGATATTCGTAGAGGTGACTGTTGGGAATAGGTCGCTTCCACACTCTGAAGTCCTTCTTTTCCACCACAATTTCCCAGCCAGATTCCTGTTGCCCAGTTTCAGTCCCCGAAGACACACTTAGTCGTTTTGCTGCCTCCAGCGCCTGCAGCTCCAGTCCACACCTTCACAAAGATGCAAATATCAAGCTTAGATTACTTACAGGTTATATTCAGATCATAATGAAAAGCTTAACTGTGCATACAAATGTAAGAGCAAATTTAACTGCACTGTTTACTCAAATTTTGAATCAAGACAGGAATATCAATGCTGCTTTGTTGAGAGTGCCAACAGAGTAAGAGGCATGTTTACATTATTCCTTTTTTTTTGCAAAAATATATGCCTTTATAAAATGTTGTCCCACCTCTGAATTTCCTCATCTTGGATTTTCTCATTCTCCCACATGAAGACACCAGCTAGGGCAGCCACAAATTTCCCAGTAGGGGCGTGCTTGCTCTGTAATCTGCGCCATATGTTGCCAACCAGGGTCCACTTGGTGCGCTCCGAGTACAGGTTGGAGTAAAGCTCTCCAACCTGGCATGCACGCCGGAGTCTCTGGCCGGTCACAAAGCCGCAATGGTCCGCAAATATGGACAGCAAACCCTTCCTCTTGGGACCAGAGGCCGCGGAGTCGCTAGCACCCACACCTGCCCTCTGCAGCCAGGACAGCAGCAGGCCCACGTTCCTGCCTAGCAACGGGAGCCTCTCAAGCTTTCCCCTTCCCTCCTCGACAGTGCGTCGAAATGACCAGCTGCTCTGAAGCCTCACTGTATTTATACCGATCTCACAGATCGGACGGCGGGGCACCGAGTGAAACATGACAGCTGTGTCCGTGACACAAGTTCACAAAGACAACGTGAATTCCAGAAGTAGCAGAGTGCAGCAGCAAGGGTTAGCTAGCAAACTTTGTTTCCAAAGCTAATGCGCTGCGAGCTACCACCGCGCATTCCCTCTCTACCTACGCAGATAATGATGCACAACTATAGAAAGAAAAATTCATAACTTACTCTAGTAGTGCCACTAGCTGCGGAGTTGTCTGCAAACACGCGACATGTAACGTTAGCCTTAGCTAACCTTATCTCTCTTCACTAGCTTCTAAATTAGCGGAAGTTACCAGCACAAACTAAAATGCACAGAAACCCCCCCGCTCCTGCCTCTGAATATAATATCTAATAACTTCACTGTAAACTGAACTGTTATATTGTAGCTATCTGTCCTGAAACAGCCTCACGTTTTCACTCAATACATTTGACCTCCTCTTCCTACTCTCTACCTTATGCACGCGCTTTTTAAGCCCGCCCACAATTCGCTATACGCCCTGTGATTGGATGTTTCTTGCTTAATGTCACTTCTTATTGGACAGGGCCACACTCCGTTTGATTTTGAGTCGTTTAATCACCAGCATGTCTGGTTGTCCAGCTTCGTGTGTCTACTAAAGCCCATCCACCTCAGTTACAGCGCTTAAGCGATGATCTGGGTTAAAGGTGAAGAGAAGGTAAACTGCAGCTGGAGTCCAGGATAAGTGTTTACGGAAAGTAAAAATCATGCATAATAGAAAGGGGAATGCTGGTACTTCGTGCTCTGTGGCACGAAGTACCCCTGAAGAAGAGGAAGTCAAATCGCCCTCCAGCGGCGCAAAAGTCGTAGTAAGAGTGGTGACTCTAACCATGACCATAAATTACGCGCAAAACGTGACTCGATAGAGCGGTGATACTTGATTGCTAAAGTATGGTCCGTGGCCACATGGAGGTCCTGGAGATGCTTCAAGTGAGGAGTAAAGTCATTTTAACTTCAAACAGGGGAGTCAGATAAATCGAGGAACGTACTCCTCGTCATTAACTTTTAATAAATGTACACATTAATTTGCAAAAGTCTTAAGACACCCATCATTTCTTTATATTATGCTAGGAAAAAAATTGAATAGGTGAAAGAAATTAAAAATAATGTGCAGTCATACATGAAAATACAATATAGAAAGGGAAAAAAGTTTAATTCTAACGAGCTTGAAAGTCAATATTTGATACAACCACTTTTATTCTTTCTTTGCTTTTGTTTGCTATGTTGTCTGTTATCTACAGACACAGAAATGGTTCATCCTTTCAGTTAGATATTTTGAATGATTTCTAAGTGGCCTAAAATACAAACAAACTGTTAAGTATGGAAGCCCGTTTCCGCCACTAAAAAAAAAAAGTATCCATAACTCGAAATTTCGAGCTGTCTTTCTCGAAATTTTGACTTATTAGTAGTTCTAAAATGTTGACTTACTTTTCTCAAAATTTTGAGTTAATAACTCGAAATTTCGAGTTAGCGCTGCTATTTTTAGGCCCATTTGTCTTTTTGTGGGATTCAGCAGTGCAAACTTCTGGAAGTTAGTTGCTGATTGTTAGTTGTTGTAGGTGAAACTTTTTCTTCAAAGTGAACTCACTTGTTGTTGCACTCAGACACTTAGCAAAGAAACTATCAGATTATGTGGTGTATGTATATATATATATA